TCATTGGAATGTACTTCCTCTTTTTCTTCTTCTTCGTCGTCGTCGTCGTCGTCATTGTCCAACACATTACCATCTACAGTATTATCATTATCGTCACCAATAAAAACTATATCCGATGAATACTCAGAAAGAAATCCCAATGAACCACCGCCATCTAAACGAATTTGTTGTAATTCACCAGTATCTTTATTAAAATCATCTAATATTGAATCTGTAGTGTGTTGTGTGTCAAGTCCACTTGTTTCTATGAATAATGATGTAACCAATTTCACTAATATAAATAATTTCGATAGTTCTGTATTGCAAGATCATTTAGCTGTATCCGATTCTACTACTACTAATACGACTACTACTACTACGACTGCCGTTACTACTGTTAAAACGACCACAACAACGAGTTGTAAATATACAGAATCGGTTCGATTCGGTGTAGCTGATTTCATGGGATTAAACGATGATAATAATCATAATAATGATAATGTTGATATTATTTCAGTTGTGGATAATATCGATCATGATTGCCTTTAGTTATCCTTCACTTTGTAATTATGTATTAATAAGTAAGCTTAGACTATAAACAAAAAAAGAAAAACAAACAAACAGTTCGATCAACACCATCAACGACCACACACACACACAAACCCAAACAAACAAAATCCACATTGATTATGATCATTATGGTCATGTTGATTTTGTTGTTAAACTTGTATTTTTTTTTCATTATTGTTCATTTTATCACTTCTTTTTCACTATACACTGTTTTCCTATTCTTTTATTTATATGTATGGGTGTATGTGTATGCGTGTGTGTGTAAGTTTCTTGTGTACTAATTAATGGTGATTTCTTCGAGATAAACTGTGTTCTTTTATTTCAATGCCTATCATTTAACAGCATCATCATCATCCTCATCCTCATTATTGTTATTGCTGTTGTTGTACTTTATCTTCACTGTCATCTTGATCTAGGACGTACAGTATGTTATTATAGATTACAGAAATGTACTAATTTATTCCATTAGTTTAATATGAATTATTATTATTTTATTTTTATCCATGATTCATGTATAAATTTCTTTTTGATATTCCATGATAATTGTTCACTTTTCTTCCAGTATAGAGTTTTTTTATAAAAAAAAACAACAACAATTCATTCATTCGCTTGTTGATATTCAGCTTTTCTTCTTCTTCGTTTTCGAGTTTGTTCCCCTTCTTTTATATTGAACAACTTATCATTTTACATTATTTTATGTTGTTCAATGAAAAAAAGGATCCAACTAACTAAGTAACCAATCAATCAATCAAAGATTCACCAAACAGTCTGGTGCACAAAATAATAAACTAACTGATTTAGTAAGTCGTAAAGTGAACTTTTTATAATCTATGGCAGCTCTATTCTCATATTCTTATGGTTATTTTCATTGTTTGCTGTGTCTTATTATTGTTTTGCTCGTATTTTTTTTTAAAAAAAAGAAAGAAAGACGAGAACAGATGAAAAATGTTTTTAAATTGATTATTTTGTGTGTGTGTGTGTGTGCCTTTTCGTTTATGAGGGACATGGGCACATTGTTACAATCTAGTTTATATTTAAGACAAATGAATGTTTGTGTAATTGTTGTTCTCTTTTGTTACTATCTTAAAAGTGTACACCTTTCCCTCGTGAGCAGACACACACACTCTCTATCTCGATGCGTGTATGTGTATGTAGGTGTATTTTATTTGAATAAACCAAATATTGTATAAATTGTATCATAATAGTAATATTTATTAATACCTATGCATATTGTTTACTTGTAACAATTGGTAGTAGCCATTTGTTTACAACAACAACAACAAAGAGAAGAACACTTCTCTCCTTTTACCTGTCTTGATTTTTTCTTTTCTCGATGTCGAAGTTTTCATACTATTATTATTATTATTACTCTGTGTACTTGTTTGTCTATGTAGGTACATATGAGTTGCACTATTGTCATCATAACTTTTCCTCACTACCGTTATCATGATCACTATCGTTAAAACTTTCTATTTCTTCTCTTGAATTCTTTATATTTATTGTATTTATCTGTGAAATGCTCTAGTTTATTTGTTATATGGATGTATGAATTAGTTAGTTAGATATTCTTACGACGACGACCACCACCACCGTCAACATCATCATCATTAACTTTCCTCTAATAACGTTTACATAATCAGCTGATGAACTTGTTCAACCGTGTTCTAATTTCAAACAGAAGAACAATGTGACAAAGGAGTTTTGCTATGATTATAATAATAATAATAATAACTATTATGAATTCTATTTAAACTACCATAACGCATGCATATTACTGGTATCAAGAGTACCAGTAATAGTATTAATATGACTGGAATATTTACTGTTGATTTCATTACATATCCATCAAACTTACACACACACACACACATCACCATCATCATCACCACCACCTTAATTTAACTCTATTTTCGGTTCTTTCTTTTTCTCATTTCTCTCATTGTTCACGATGATAATGATGATGATCTTTTCAACTGTTCTATCATTTCTTCTTAACAAATAATCAAGCTCACCCTGATGACACAAAAGACCAGATGATAAAGATACATATATATAAATTATATGATGCATTTGTCGTTTTCTTATCCTTATTGTTTTTATTCATATTTGTCCTTTTTCCAAGAAAAAAAACGTAGTTCACAACTACTTCTTTAGTTTTCTTTACATCTCTATTGTCTGGAGAGGTATTCATATTCAGAGTATACACTCACTCACATACACACACATTATCTGTTTATTACGTTCATTTGTATACAAACACTCGCAACATTTGATGTGTGTTATATTTCATGAGATTATAATGAAATAACTTGAAAAAAAGGTGGACCAATGTTCTCTTCATTCATTGTTGATCTTATTTTTATCCTTTTACCACAATAACTACAATTGATACTACTAATGCTACTTTCACTACTGACAATAGTAGTAAGTGATTTTCTAGTAAGCAGCAACAGCGACTTTGATCATTATATATATATACCCCCGGAAAACAGGGTCACATGTTTCACGAAAAGTGCATATACTTCAACAATTCTTACTGGTTTTTTTTCTCCTTCGAATAACACTTTTCTACTTTTCTTCTTGATGTTTATCTCTTCCTGTGTTTTTGCCCCAATCTTTGTCAAGTATGTATGTATAATGGAGGTTCCAGATGAATATATTGATAATAATAATGATAATTATAAATCGTCTTTTTGACATTATTCTCTGTGATTCTTGGGTAAGGACATTCATGCCATTTCCTGCGAAACACCTGTAATAATTTCGTGTATCAAAATGATTTAAGGTTTCCTTTCAATTGATTATCATTTAAGTAGTACGTTTTTTGGTAGAAGTAATATCAGGTTTGATGTTGAACATTCTTTTTGTTCAACTTTTCTAAGGCTTAATTTATTGAGATAGTAAAGGTTTAATGTAAGTTGTGGTTACTTGTCTTAAATATCTACACCTATTGGTTTTCTTCTTCGATAGACAAAACTCATTAGATTCAAAATAAATACATGTTCTTACATAAGCATATATCGATAGCACTTCGATAAGCACATAAATACATACATACATACTGCTAGGTTTGAAGCGGTTACGAGTTCACTTAGACTGGCAACGGAATAAAGACTTGTGACCAAAGACTAACAATCCAGCTATTCTATTGTGTCCAAGCTCCGCTAACTAAAGAGAGAAGTCAAATTCCTAACGGGGAAGTATATTTCGCAAAATGTATACATAGAGTACAAAACCGTCCTTGAGAAACGTTACAAAATAGCATACCAAAAGACAACGGGCCAATAGCGTTTAAGATTCTCCCGATTGGGAAACACGACATGAAGGTGAAAAGAGCGCTTTTGACGCAAAAACAAAGAAATTCAAATGTTCTGGATAAAATTACAAAATTAGGACCCTTTCAAAGTGAGTTCTGGAGATCTAACGTCTCCAACACATACATACCTATATATAAGAAATTTAATAAAGTACACGTGTATTCATTGGCATGTAACATCACCTTGTTGATCAATAAAGTTAATAAGTAAATTTGTACTTCAGTTAATACTGGAGACATTCAATTGGTGAAACTTTCTATGGTGTTTGATTTAAGAATGGAGTATTAAAATAGGGTAGTAGATCAACATAGTGGTTTTACTACATTCGATTAAAAAAACTGTACTTTACAGTTATGAAAGGTTTTGTAGATAGGTTTCATTTTGGTTATCATTCACAAACGAAAAACATCTATTGATGAGTGTTGATAACTATAAAATTTAAATTTATGACATTCGATTTTCTTTTGTCGTCAAATACTCACACATAATAATCATAACGTGGAGTAGCATAACATGACTATTACTGAACTATATTGAGATCTAAACTAACTATCTCTAGATTACCGGGAAATATATGTCATTCAATCAACTTCATAATTTTGGCAATATGAAAAGGGTTGTGGTTTACTGAATGTAAACGAACGTAGTTTTGAGAAAATCTTTGAGAAAAAAAGAATTTGCAAGACAGTTTGATTATTGTAGTTTCATAGTTTTGTCATATATATATATTCAGACAGACTTAGATATTTTGATTAGCTGGTCTAAGTGAACGATTTCGTCGAAAAAACTCTTTTTTACAAAGCCCTACCTTTCCTAAGCATATTTCCCGTTCGAAATGAGCTTAGGGAGGAGCAACCAGCAGTGTAATCAGGCTCAGGACTAAACCAAATTCGTTTCTTTTGCGACCACTAAAACTATAATCTCTCGTTCAAGTACGTTAAGCGAACGTAGTTATCGTGTTTAAGCTCATCTCGGGATCCTTCTGCAAACCTTTTGTTGACGTTTCATGTTTTAAGACCGTTGACATATAGAATAATATCTTAAATTCTCAATATGAATGTACGGTCAACACACCATAACAAAACTTTCGACTTTCGGGCTAATTGTTTCTTCTTTGTCTCGAGTTGTGGTTCTATGTGCAGATTTAAAATTGTTCAATCAGCAACTTCTTATTTACGAACACAAAGTATGCAACAATCCTTGAGTGCAAAAAAAGTAACAAAAATGTATGCAACTTGGTGAAACTTGAATATGACACATATCGAGGGTTTTAATGAAAACCTCTGTCTAATGCAGGCCAGCGAATTGAAATAAATGTACCTGAGGCATTGTTGCAAAATACCTGCATCCTCTGTGGTGAATAATAATTTTACCCACGAGTGACTAGCCTCAGAAACACTCTGTTGTTCCGTGCTCTCTGTTTTCGTTTTAATTTCCCTAGTTGTACATAATTATGATTATTTCGATCCGGCACACGAAATGACCTTAATTACTCCGTTCATAAATTAACAGGCTATCCATTTAAGAAATATTAAAAACTCTCGGCTGATGCATTGGATAGCTGTAATATATGTACTACACAAACAATTACTGAATTAGTATACTTAAAACTTTCTTCTATCACATGTTTGTTCTGCACATCTAATGTTACTATTTATATCGAATTGACCATGCCTGTAAACTGGTGTGAATTCTGTAATTATTATTTTCAGAATATAAAATTATTATTATTATTACTCCTTAATCGGGTCGTTAAAAAGGTAACACAAATTTCACACAAGACTGACTTAATCACTTGCTAGTGGGACATGAAATTGTATAAGTATATATAGTTCTTATTCCTTCGACGTTACTTGTAGAAAGTCTCCGTTATCACATACTTACGTGATACGTTTCAACCGTTGGACAGACAAATCATTATAGTCTTTCCGTTTGGCCTATCACTCATACGTTTATCCTTACCAAATACTCATCTCTGACCTCGAATATGCATTATGAATGTAAATGTGCTGTTGCATGTCTGTGTACTTGATAGTATCTCATTCATACGTACACGGAGCGAATCATTTATTACTTATGGAGTTGGTAGATCCTCCATTCCTATTTCACAACTCTCAACATTCGTTCGCATAAAAGAATAACTAAAATAAATTCCTCTAACTTAATTTCTATTTGACTGTTTACTACCTTTGTGGCTTCAACGAAGTTAAGCTGAGAAGAATTAACGAAACCAAGCTGAGAATCTCTCTTTGTTCGTTCACTCGATCATAATGGAGTTAGATAACTGGCTTAAAGACTGAACTAAGGGCGTTTAGTGTCGGCAGTAGAAATAATTAGTATCTGTGATTCGTCTTGATGTCATCCTTTCTGTTTAACACTAATCAGTATGTACTTACTCATATAAACGTTTATAGAGGAGCATAGGTTGCTCATCCTCATTTTCCAACCAACTGTGACCTAGACAATCCGTCCCAGTTGTTTCCTCTCTTGGTATCTTCTTTCAACTCTTGGCGCAATGTGTTGTTTGGTCATCCTCTTATCCATTCCCCTTCAGTACTCCGAGTAAGTGCTTGCTTCGTGGTGCAGCTTGATGATTTTCGTATTGTATGTCCTATCCACCTCCAACGTCTTTTCCTATTTTCCTCTTTAGTTGGAAGCCAGTTTGTTCTCTCCTACAGTAGGTTATTTCTAACGGTATCCGTCTAACGGACGGATGGTTGTGATAGTTCTCCAAGCCTTAATTCCGTAGAGTAGAAAAGTATTGACGTTCGTATTGAAGATTCTGGAATTGATATTTGTTGACAGTTGTTTCAAGTTCCATATGTTTTTCAACTGTAGGAATGCGGCTTTTACTTTGTCAACCCTTACTTTTTCGTCTGCATCACATCCTCCTAGTTCATCAATGTTGCTTCCCAGGTACATGAATGTTTCCAACTCCTCCAGAGTTTCTCCATGAAGCGTGATTATGTCGGTGTTTTCCTTATTGTATTTGAGGATCTTGGTTTTTTGCGTATGCTGAGGCCTACTGATGCACAGGCTGCTGCTATGCTGTTTGTTTTGAACCACATTTTGTGTGTATATGGGACGGAAGGATCGGGCAATCTGCGAAGTCCGAATCGTTTAGTTACATTCTAAACTGCTTATTGTATTTCGTGCTTCCCGTCAGATGTCGTGGTCTTTATAACCCAATCAACCACCAGAAGAAAGAGAAAGAGGGAGAGTAGGCAGCCTTTTCTGACTTCGGTCTTTACTTGGAATGTGTCTGTCAGCTGTCCTCCATGCATGAATTTGCAGTGTAATCCATCGTATAAATTCCGTATAATGTTGGCAATTTTCTCAGGCACACCATAGTGTCTAAGAAGGTTTCGTAATATTCAGCTATCCATGCTGTCAAACGCTTTCCCATAGTCAACGAATTTGGTGCATATTGGCGAATTACGCTCAGTTGATTGCACATCAGCTATATGTAGTGTCATGAATCGGTCTTCTCACGACCACTCCCTATGGAATCCAGCCAGTTAATCTCAAAGTTGGGCTTCTACTGGCTTTTTAATTCGGTTCAGCAACATTGTTGAGAATATTTCCCAGTAATTATAGGAATGTGATATCTCTATACTTCCGACACTTGCTCAGATTTCCTCTTTTTGATATCTCGATGAGGTGCCATTCTTTCCGGTCCATCGGCAAACACTGTTCCCCCAAATCTTCGTAAATAGAATGTGAGGCATCTTTGCAGCCTTTTATATATTCAATTTCAGGGTTTCAGCTCGTGCTTCTTTCTCATACTTCATTCACGGATGGCATAGTTGATTTCTTTTGTCGCTGGTAAAGTGACAGAGATAGGATAGTGTGCTGCTTTGACGTCCGGTGGATTCTGTAGACATTTTTTAAGCCTTCGTTCGCACGTGTTATTAAAGATGTAGTATAACTTTGTGTAACTCAGTATCTATTCGTAATTTTTGGTTAAGAAACCATTTTTGGTTTATCGTCTAGTAGCCTTGACTTCGTATTAAAAAATAGTATCCGTATTTCAGGTGATTATTGGCACCCGGGACTGAAAATAATCATATTGTTTCCTAGAAAATAACCAGTCAATAAACACGTGTTTTGAAATTGAAAACTCTAGTGAGTAGTTTGCCAGCGCGTGATTTGGAAAAAGCGCGAACTCAAGTAAGTCTAGTGCTGGGCGTTGAGCTATGTTCTAGTTTTGATTCCAAGACTCATAATCGGAGGCATGTATTATTCCAGATTGTTTGTTTCTTTGATAGACGTTAGCGCACTGTGTGCGCCTTCTGAGTTGTCGACTCACCCTTTCCTTTTATTCTATTCTTCAGTCATTCACATAACTTTGCATGATCCCCTGAATAAACGTAAACTGACACACTAATGTGTTCTATCATCGTTTTTTCGTCGACTTTTGCCATCAAACACCCGCTTTGTCAATGCATTGCACGATCCATGGTGAGCGTGTTTATGATCAGCTTTCAATATTCTAATTCAGCGACTGGAAAAATTATTTTTTATTTGATGTTAATGCATAGCGGAAGGTTTTATTTCAATCATCTGTCACTTATATGAGATGAGAAATTGGTAATCTGCGTTATTTGCTCAAGGTCAATGCTTTTATATTTAACCCATTCTATGAGCTAACTGAACAAACCTCATTAAGGTAGGCGATTCGGCGTGTACTAATGTGAAAACTAGACAGTTTCGCATATATTTGGGTGAAAAGCAGACGATTCAGTGAGCTTTCAAACCCAAGGTGATAAAAGGGGAAATCTCGCACTATTTTCTCATAGCAGGCAGAATGAGAGACATTTTGACGCGCTTCCCTTTTATTTCCTTTTTTTCCGGTCGCTTGTGTTGGCTTAGGGAAAAATTTGAGTTTCTTAACAGTCTTTAAACCTTGGATTCTAAATTAGACCTTACTTCAGTTATGGTGTATATCTATACATGAGTCATAAATCAACCCGACCTAATTTTTACGATACCGTCTTGCTATGACTATTCGTTTCTTATTGATGTTAATTCAGTTCATTTATCTGAGTGATTATATTTTTTTTCATATTTTGCTTAGAGAAATGTCTATGGATGGAACTGCTGATGGTCCCTTAGAAGTAAGTGGAGAGTGGATTACTTTTTGATATTCAGCATTGAAATTTATTATATTTAGCTCATTATGTATTAGTTCCCTTACTACCCTTAAATCCCGAGTCTCAAAACTATTCTATGCTTTTCGTTGCTCGAATTCATCCTTTTCCTGAATATTCTATGTAGCTGATCTTTTTTACTACCGATGATACTGCTAATTCAGTCAGTCAATCAGCTACAACGTAGGACCAATCACATATATGCATCGGTCCAAGTTGCCATACCTCATTAGCACAGCAAGATAAACACTGGATTCATAGATGTTGTTACTTCAATGAGGGTAATATATAGAAGAAAGATTGCGTATAAAAGTATAGTACAGGAAGAAAGAATTAGTTCGTAGAACGAAAGATATGAAGTGATTTTAATCTCTTAGTTTAAGGGAAGACAGAGTGTATACACCTACGCCATTGTGATCCATTCTGAGCCATGTCACCCAGAGTCTCCAACCATTGGTTAGGATGGTCACGCGGATTTCAACTGCTACTTCCGTAACTCTAGTATTCGTCTTATTTTGAGGATGTAACGTGGCAATTTAAAGTGGCGCTCATATGTACCAGGTTCTTTTTTGCTGCTGACTGACTTACATTGCTACCATAAGTATAGTCCTATCAGCCTAACCGAGCTTCAGTTTTGATATTAGTTACTTGGATGTTATGTATTCACAATATGTCAGTTCTGCGTAAACTAGTTAATGAAGTGTATTTAAACACGTATTTTATATTTCATTTTTGAACTTAATACACTTTCAATCGAATTAAAGTCAGTCCCGTTATTCCCATCAGTCAAATGTGTTCTTCAAAAATCTGAATCAAGTCTTCACTATTATTTCGTCTAGTTTTATATCGAATTAGAAACTTACCAACAACCATTCTAAAGTAAAAATAGAGATGAATTTAAGTAGTAAAGAAAACCGAAAGGCATATAACTTGAAATCCACTTATTTGAAAGTAACTTGCTGTTTTGTAATGGTATATTGGTTTAAGCACTCAGATTTCGAACAGTGGGTCTCATGGGTTTAAATGGTGTTTCACTTCAGTTTAGACAACTAGTTGTATCACTAGCGTCACATGGACAGTAGTTCAACCGAGTACATAAGACCATACTTATTACACACGTTACACATTTAAGTTTGATGGATTTCGTTTCCGTCCTCAAATGACATCAGTGAGGTACTATGGTCTGCCCGTGGCACGAATTGACATGGGTTTAAAATACTGAGAATATATATATATATATATATATATATATATATATATATATATATATATATATATATATATATATATATATCTTCCTTATAAGCACTAGCGACCAAAAAAACATTTTCCATAGTTTTTTACGACCAACCCCCGTAACCTTTCGATCAATATTATCTATATATTTAAGCAAACATTGGTACAAGGAGGCACCAAATATATATACGCCCCACGTTGTCATTTGATTTGTGTGAAGGATGCAATACTACCCGCGTGCTCAAACCGAAGCAAGGTGGTTTTCTAAGGGGGCCACTCCCCGAGCCTTTGGCCCAGAGGTCTAATCCACAAGACAGTGGAGCGACGTTAAAGGATGCCGTCCTATGGTAGCTAGTGACCAATTGTAGGTTCATATGCCATTTATTCCCTCAAGATTTTGGAGCCAATGTGCACCATTAGTTTGGAATCAGGGTTTTCCAACTCCCCTATGTAGACTTTCCGTGTCCACTGATCCGGTTAAAGCACCGAACGTTCAGTTTTGGTCCTCTCAATTTCGTAAGCAACACCCCTGTCGCGAAAAGGCAGTGAGTAGGGCTTCGCTGGTAGTAAATGTATACACGTGGCCACATGAGAGCATTTCAAGAGGGATAGCTGACTCTTCCCACTCGGTCGTACCAGGCCATTTGGGGGGCATTTGTTGGTTACAGCAGTCTGGTCTCGCGCAACTATTTATCATCAACGTACCTCCAACTACATGTGCACGGGTCGTAGTCGCTATACTTCTCACTAATCCCGAGGAGAATTGACTGGGTGTCAAATGCAGGGTAAGATACAATATCATAGACTATGAAAATTTAAACATGAGAAGTAAGGTTCCGAAGAAACAGTTGTAATCAACCGATGGAAAGCACGAAATGACGTTAGATCCAAGACCTAATCATCCACGAAATCATTGTTTTTTCTCAGGTAATACTCTCCATAGCCACATTTTGTTGCTACCAATGATGTTACTACCTCTATAATTTTGGCATTTGTCTCATTGTGGTGATGTGGCAATGGAAGTTGATACACATGTGGTGGTTCTACATTGTTTTGACTGACTGAGTGACAGGTAAACTTTGAAGCTTCTGGTGCCAGTGTCTCACAAATCAGTTTGAACAGTAACGAAGTTTACACAAAACACCCTCACTTTTTCAGCTTATGAAAGCATCTTTGACATGAGCCAATAACTGCTAACCTCAGTACTTAAAACTCTCCATTTATTGTTGGAATACCTCCCTAGTTCACTAAGCCTAAATAGTACTTTGAATATACTCATGAATAAGAATTTCTATCGTTAAAATCGGTTACAATTTTACTGACTCTCACAACTACGAAATGGGGTCGGTCAATACATACACCTTTCAATATGTACTCACATATTTCCTCTGTAACGAAATTCATGTAAGTTTGCTTAGTATATCTCAATTTAGGTTTCATAAACTAGCACTGATTATATATACATAACATAATCGGTATTTATTCATTTTCTTCAACTAGATTAAATTTCATACAATATATACCCTGTGTTGTACATTCTTTGTATGATTATTGTCCTAAATGTATCTCTTAAAAGTCAAATATATAACCAATAACAATGTTTAACTTAAAGATATCTAAATTGATTTCAATGTCAGTTCACATCAAATCAATGATTAGTTCTTTTCTTTAATATGATTTATGTAGTGTGTTTAAAATTCCAGTCAAAAGTATTGTTTAGTTTAGCAATTAACTCTAACTATTTCACGCAACTTCATAGTATTTTCTTCGTTTAAGCTGATTAACTGTTTTGTTAGCTTAATTCTTAAATAAACTAAAGAAAATACAAAAGAAATTTAGGGTTATGATTATATTTTTCAGATGTAATAGTAATGTATTGTTCAATGTTGGGGGTTATTTTGTACTATTCTACTAATAAGCGTTCTAATCAACCAGTGAGTCGTATTTGTGAGTGTAGACTTCTGTTGTAGATTCTGGGGTAGGGTATTTGTAATCTATGTTTAAGGATATTGGATTCTATAGCCTAGAGTTGACTGTACTCATTCTTTATCACCCCCCTAAATCTTAACGTAAATATTGTCATTTCGTGTTTTTCATTCTTCTTGAATTCAGCTGTTCCTCTTGAACTTTATTTTACGTGTTTAGAAATCTGTCGTTTTCAATATTATTTCTCATCCTCCGCTTTAAATCTAATTATTTTCTTTGTGGTGTATATTGAATCGAATCATTAGATGTTTTTTCATGTTCTGTGATTTATATAAATGGCCATATAACAGTTCCCAGTCACATTGGTTTAGGAAATGTGATTAATACTATAACCCGTTTACCTGTCCATGTATTCGGCTTTGAGCGCCAGTTTATGTGCGAGGGCTAGTGACACTAGCCGACTGTTCAATTCGAATTAGATTGAGTGGGTTTAGACATTTGACCCAATGGTCTTTGTTGTAACGTGGAATGCTGCTGATTGGAAGTTAGCGAATTACCGATTGATTCAAAGACGAGTAAGACACGTAAGAACGGCCCAGAGTTCTGATTGGCCTCGCTTCCCTGTCTAGCCCAGCCAGTTGAGTCCAGAACGCAAGTCTCAGCCTCTGAGATATGAATCATTATATTTCAAGCATACTCTGTTTATATACCAATCAAGCAGACCACATCGTACCATAAAATAGAAAACAACATTTGTACAATATTTGACAAGTGAAATAAACATTGACCAATAGGAAATGTCCATTTAAAGTCCAAGGACACCACTAGACTTAACAGGATAATTATTGGTATATTTTTCTGAATATCCCAACAGTCTTCATTCAAACACTCCAATTTGTAAGACACTGCCCAAATCTGAGTAATCGTTAATTTGGAATAGTGTATCATTAATTTTAGCTTGATTTGCTTAAGTTTGTCAATCCATTCTGGTAGTGTTTACTCTCATAGGGAATTAGCTTCAGTCGTCAAATCTTCTAGATTTATCTTTTGACACTAATATGTTATAATTCAGTGATAAATTTTCTAGGAATATTAATATTAACAACTAATTAATACGATATTTGATTGCTGTTGGCTTGACGAAGCATTGATCAAATAATGTTTCAGACAATATATTGGTAGAGCGCACCGATTGGTTTATTTTCGACCAATCAGTGTTAGCGGATGAGTTGTTTAGACTAGAATATTCCTGTATAAAGCTTATTCATACACTGACATTTTGATCGATAATCTAATTTATGGATAATATTTGAGTAATAATAAAGTTCCTTTAAGGAACTTTAACCACTTACTAGGACCGAAATTAGGACTATAAATTAGTGTAAAGAATTAGGACTAGGATTGTGAGTTAGAACTAAAAGTTCGGATTAAGAAGTAGAATTAAGGTTTTTGTCACGAACGGACCTCAATTATGATGTGTGTATAGTATTCAGATATATGAATGAATTAATGTAGCTCCAAAATCGCTATCTTAAATGTGATTAATTCGTCTCTTGCTGAACTTGCTGTTTTGTTTAGAATATATTTACATCCTATCGAAGTCACTTTTTATTTAGGAACCAATCGAGTGAGTGAATCGATCGAAGATTAGTGATTAAATGTTAAAACATTTCCAGTTAGTTTTATGATAGGCATTTTAGACATTGGGGTGTTTTTGAATTGTATTCAAAGTGATATTCGGCTTTTTAAATATAAATTAGGTTTGAGTTCAGTAGGTGTTATTATTAGAGATTTATTTTGTTGATCAGTAACGAATGTCTGGCGCTTTAACCGGATCCCGAACCAATGGTTCACATGGGCTCCAGTATCCTGCGAGAACAAATGGCTTATGAACCGATCGTTGGTCACCGGCTACCATGGGACTACATCTCCTCACGATGCTCCACTGCCTTGTGGGTCAGACCTTTAGGTCAAAGGCTCGGGGTGTGGCCCCCAACAAAAAATCAGTGCCTTTAAGAATACAGCCCGACTGAAACATAATCTTTTATTGATCGGTTTTAAGACTTCTAATAATTTTATGCTTAATTTTATTGATATGTCCTATTTTTACTATGTAATGTTGTTTCCTACAATTTCATCGAATACTTTCTACATTATATTGTATATTACAGGCAGATTCAAGTTGGATATCATCAAAGACATCATTTATGACAATTTCTGATCCCAGTGATTCGTCTACACCAACTGCAAATTCTTCATTAGATGAAACATTTGCTTCGAATAAGTTTTCACCCAACTCTTTCGCAAATTCATCCCCAAAATCTGACGGAGTAGAAGACAATGACTATGATAATGGTGATAAAGACGACGAAGAAAAAGAACAAGTAAAACACAGAAAGAAAACAGGAGTAACTTTAGTTTATGCTCCGGAAAAATCAGCTAATATTTTCAAATCCTCACAAAATTCTATTGTTACACCTCAACCAAATCAAAAAGTGATCATAATCCGATCAAACCAGGGTAACGATAATAATGACAGTGAAAATAATTCATTAACTAAAGAAAATGGTATTGGGTCAACAACCGCTTCTTCAATAGATAAAATTCTGTATTCCAGTGAAGAAAACCTTTCTAAATTAAATGGTGAACATGATTTGAAACAGTTGAATAATTCCAACAGTTTCTTTTACAACAACTCTTTTGATGAATTTTCATCGAATAATGGAATATCAGATTATAAAGATCTATCTGATGATAATAATAATAATAATCTATCAGATAATGATAGTAAGTATGATAATTCCGGTAGTATCTTATCAACACCAACAGTACTCACTTCATTGGATAATCATAATGATTCATCGGTTTTATCTATGGGATCAAAGAGTTTATCTAAAGAAATTCTAAATGATGACGATACTACTACTACTACTAATAATAATAATCAATCTTATGCTAACAATACAATTAGTGTTGATGAAAACAATGATATTACTGGTATTGTTATACAGAATCATGAAGAAATTACGAAAAATACTTCATCTATTGATCAAAATGAAAAATATATATCAGCATTAAAACCAGTTTTATCTTCACCATCTAATCATTCAATTAATTCAGATCAAGAATCCAAACTATTAACTGATAATTCTTTTATAAAGTCGAATTTAAATAATATAGCACAAATGAATTCTGAATTGGATGATGAGGTTACTAAAACAGTTCTAAATATTAGCGATCAATATAAGAAGACAGTAAATAAGTTTGTTGAACAATCAATGCCGACTTATTTGGATCGTTGTTCACCAGCACAAATTGTAGCTGTAACCGGTGGGGCACCGCCAGATATAATACGTAATATTGAAGAAGATTTGGACGAAGATAATGATAATGTTATTGAAGTACTTAATACAGATGTAGAACATGAAGCCAATCCCTCTTCTTCTTCATCTACAAACCCTGGTAATATTGTCCGGCAACGTGGTCATACTTCAGAGTCATTAAAATCCCCAAAGCCGGTAACTATCAATATTGACTTACGAGTGAGTCAATAATTATTAAGGATTCATAATACGGTGGCTTTTTGTTTTATGTCTATCTAAAAGCAAGTTATTATCTTCTCATTAAAATTTTATTAAGGTATATTTTCACCCTAACCAATCACTAGCTTAAAATTTATTGCAAATTTGTATTGGCGTCTAGGTTCGTTTTTAAAATCAGGTTAATATCTGCTGAATAATAATTCTTGAAGATTTATAAGTCTTAGGTAGCTGTATAGTTCTTTTCAAAAGAAAATCAAATCTTTCCTGAGACAGTGGCTCTCAATTCTAATGATGACTAACATTCAAAACTGCAACCAAAAGATTATACAGCATAATCCTTCTTATTTAAATTAAGCTTGGTAATTAAATGTCATTAACTAAATATTTCATTTGTTTTGAATTTTATTAAATCCAAGGCTTTCAAACGGTAGTTACAGGTACAACTCTCAACCATTAGATTATGTGTTATGGACCCGGTTTCGGTAGCTGGCTAATATCACAAAATATGGCTTAGAGCCGGGTACATAAGATCTAATTTTAAAATTAATATCAATAAATCAGAGCAAAATTCTATTTCTCAGTGAGGGTTAGCAATCATTCTGGTTACCCAAACCAATGTATATGCAATGTATTTTAAACTTGCATTTGATTGATTGGTACTTTAACTACCTAATCACTATTGCAAAAATATAAATACTGATGAATCTATGTTCAGTGAAAAGTATTGATCAACAACTTCACACGCTTCTTTATATCCATTTGATTAGTTTTTCAATTTGAAATCCATTGGTTAGTTAAATTTTTTTTAAAGTTTATTGTACACGAATTTTAAAGATTTATAAGGAGATATGTATGGTGGCTAGTAGTGGAATTCAGGCCGGTCGTTTCATTCTATTTAGGACCCATCAACCGGGTGTACTTGCATTCCATAGTTGGTTTTCACTCCAAGACTCGAACACAATACCGTTAGCTCCAAATATCATCACGTTGTCCACTTAGCTCCCGAGTCCTGATAGCCACTGGTTTCATTTTAATCAGAGATCTTTACTTAAAGTGCTTATGACTTAGTGGCATTATTGAGGGAATCTGCACACGATGCACATATGCCAAAAGAGACTGATCAACTGCACTCTTAAACATTAATGGGAAGATGCAAATGAACTAAAACTTTAAATTTTGATTATTATTATTATTACTTCATAAAGTTGTTTTGGTTTTTTCCCAGATGAATAAATTAACCATATCAAACTTTTGATAAATAGCTTCATCTTAACGTTGCAATCGTTAGGGTCAAAGAGATAATAAACTAATTCCTTACTCTTATTGTTTCATTGCTTGTATTTAATCCAAAGGTTGTTTCAAAACTAACTCCAAGTACTCCAGAAGAAGTAGATGCTTCATCAGAACTAGTTTTTAGCAATTTTATGATAGATCGTTATAGATTAGAAGTTTCTGCATCAGCTCAAGCATCTTCGTCTCAGTCTACTGCTTCTGCTTCAGCTTCAATTAATGTAACAGATATAGGTCAACAAGCTGAGTCTGAAGATCCTGTAAGCCACCAACTTTCATCTTTACCTCGTGCTGAACCACACAGGTAGGTTGTTTATCCATGTATTTAATTTAAACCATTCTTTTACCTTAAATAAAAAATTGAATCACTGTTCTATCCTGAATGCGTATTTTGTACATTGTTGTCCTTCAGAAATACCAAACGAAAAAAATCGATGAAACTTAGTAAAAAGAAAATATGCACAAGATATGAAGAAGAGGACTGTAGTTAAACTGGATGCATATATACCCACTATATTTGTTTTCTGTCTCAGATAACCACTATCCGATCTGACACACTATCCTATCCGGTGTAACTGGTCGAGGAAAAAAATATATTCTGTTTAGTGTTGTCAACAAACTCATTATTTCTCAAAAATTTAACCCAAATAAGTTAAAATTGGATTTCTTTAAAACTATCATTCCATATTTTCAAACCACACGCGTGCAGTTAGATTCAGCTCTATGAAACGTTTGTGTTAGATGGCAGTTCTTTTGCGTTTAGCATGTTCTGTTGTAAGAATGTTGTTATTGCTGTGACAATCAGTATCTTCACGTTTGCATCAGATCATCCTCGTTTCTGAATGATACTGCCCAAATATGCAAAGGCTTCCATCTCTTTTAGAGTTTCCCCATCAAGTGTGATTTGGTCTCTGCTCACTATTTTATATTTCAGGATTCCACTTTTTTCCTTATGAGTTCTGAAGGGCATTTCTACAGAAGTCATTATTACAGTGTCAATGTTTGTCTGGATGTATTGTTGTGTATTGAATAAAAGGGATCGGTCATCTGTGAACTCCAGATCTTCCATTTGCGTCCGAGGTGTCCACTTTGTTCCGTGCTTCTCCTGAGGTGTGAAGCTCTTCATAATCTAGTCAGTAGTTATTGGGAAGAGAAAAGAAGAGGGTAAGAAGCCTTATCTAACACCAGTCCTCGCTTGGAACGCATCTGTTTGCTGCCGTCTGTGCATGACTTTTCAGTGTAGTCCGTCGCAAAAGTTACGTATGATGTTGTTGAAGGTTTTCTTATCCATACTGTCGAATACTTTCTCATAATCAAGAAAGTTGTTGTATAGCGATGAGTTCTATTTAGTTGATGGCTCCACGACCATCCGTGTCACGATTTGATTACTGCATAACCAGTCCTTATTGATCTGGAAGCTGGGAGTCTACTGAATCTTCCACTCGGTTGAGGAACACTGTTGAAGGCCTTGGCCAGTACTGACAGTATTGGGATCCTTCTGTAGTTTTCACTCTTACTAAGATTCTTCTTCAGTATCTTAATAAGGCATCACTCTTTGTAGTCTGTTGGTACTTTTACCCCGAAATCTTTTTGAAGAGAACATGAAATAACTTTGCAGTTACCTATATATCTGACTTCAGTAATTCAGCTGATATCCTGTCTTGTCCTGCTGCTTTGCTATTCCTGATTTTTCTGATGGTCTTTCCGATTTATTCTGTTGTTCATGAGTTATCATCTGTAGGGAGATCAATGTCTGCTGCTTCGATTTCGGATAGATTCAATGGGGCCAGTCTACTCTAGAACTCTTCCAAGCGGTCTACCCACCTGTTCTGCTGTTCTTGAATCTCAGTGGTAGGCTTGTCTTGACATCATCATGATGTTCAGATAAATAATGAAAGCTCCACAACCAAACCATCCAGCTCGGAGAACAAAACTCCATCAAAACTTTCTTCTATTGTAGCTTTTTTGCTGTAGTCGTTAGGTCATCCATATATTTACTCGTATCAGCTCTGATTCTCTTCTTCACTCGTTTGTTTGATTCTATCTATTCAGCCTGTTCTTTTGTTTCCTCCGCTCTTATTTGGCTGTTGTTAACTAGTCTTCTTGTGTTTTTTTCTTGAATCTTTCCCAATGTGTCTATAGAAATCCGCTTTTTATGCTGATACTTTTTGTGGTTCATCACCTCCTGGCGTTTTGAATTTATTGGTTTTTTAGTCTCTTTCTAATTATTCTACGTATCAACTCCCTCTTCGTGTAGTGAATCTTATAAAGCTCAGAACTTGTTGCTGAGAATAATCTTTGATTGGGTTTGTTAACATCTCGAAGGAAGGCTATATTAAACTTTCATAGTGTTGCTTGTCCATTTGTCCAATGTTTGTTTAACTTCATTTGCAGCTTATCCCCCACCAGGTGGTGATCCGAAGCTACATCACCTCTCTTTCTTCTTACATCTACGATGAGGTTGTCGAACTTTTTATTGATGGTGATATGATCGGTCCGATTGTTTGTAATTGTGATCTGATGAAATTTATGTAGTTTTGTACATGTTTGTGAGTACATCTGGTGACCATGTTGTTGCAAACCTATAGAGTAGTCTTTTATGAGGTGGGATTTCTAACCACCGGTCGTAATCTGAGAGGGCTTCTGACAGAGTTAGCCTAACATTTACTTTTACAGCAAACTTCATGTTAATCAGCAACAGTTTGGAATATGTATGTCGAATGATAATCGATTTTCGGAACTAAAGGATTTTCATCCACATTAACAATCTAACATACTGTTTATTCACTTAAATAGGTTCTAAATTTTCATTATCGTTTAACTTTGTAAGTTATTCGCTAGTTTATGGTTGACCAGTGATGATGTTATACATCCACTCTCAGTGTAGATTTAATGTTAGGAGATTAGGAAAAATCATTAGGATCCTATGGATCTAAATTCCATGCTACTTGACACTCGTCAACGAGGGTTTGCAGTTTTTAGGGGACTACTGCTCTTCATGAGATTTGAACTGTTAAAACTTGTGGCCTGTGTGCCCTGTTAATGTATAACGTAAAGATACCACCAATTAGAGAGCAGTGAATTATCGATCGGACCAATGACGCGTAAAACCCGTACGAGCAGCCTTGAGTCGTGATTGGTCCTGCTTCCTGCCTAGCCCAGCCAGCTAAGTTCAGAACACCAATGTCAGCCTCTGCAATATGAATCGTTTATTTCAAACATACTAGGTTTATATACCAACCAGACAGACCACATCGTACCAATAAAATAGAAAATAACATTTGTAAAAGATTTAGTCAAAAGTGGCTGTGAATGTGGGAGATTGTAATTGAAAGACTAGACATAACTCAAGAATGGTAAATCGTATAATAATAGTTGATAAATCAAAATAAAGCTTATGATTAGAGGGACATGAATATGAATAGTTTAGTTAGTTAACAATTATACGATAAAAATATACGTTTAATATTGGCCCATAAATGGATCCCAAAAGTTACCATTCATTATGCTTATCGGGACATAACATAAATGTACTTCATTCACTGTCACAAAGGTTACCACTGAGCTATTTGTACACAATGTTGAGTCGTTTAGATTAGTGGCTGTATTGTAAATTGATCGATATAATTCGAACAGTCAGTAAATTACGTGTTCTCACTTTGGTTTACCAAGTAAATACAAAGTCAACAAAGCTAATTCTGTGAAAACAAGTATGAATCATGTTCTAATACACTAACCATTATGTATCTTCTGTAGATCAAAATCTTGATATAAATTATTTACCAAGTATAGGTTTATATACTCAGCTTCAAGCCATACTGTTTTTGCGAAATCTAATTCTACCACTGTTTCGCTGCTAAAACCGAATTTAATGCTGTGGGTGGTCGAACTTGTAACTCAGTGGTTGTAAGCCACTATCCAATATTTGACTTCCGAATCTTTATTGTTATATCATAATAAGGTCTATCAACACTTTGTGTTATACGAAACATTTTCATGTATTTGCTACATATCTTTAGTTATTGACCATTTTAAGTATGTATTAAATTTTTACTTTTGCTTAGTGTCGAAGCAATAGTTGCTCGTAATCTAGCCGAAATCGGTGATGAAATCAATCGTATCTATGGACCGAGATTAGACAGAATGATTAAATTACTACCAGTGGAGGAATGTCCATTAGAAATGTTTTATAATGTTGCCCGTGTGTAAGTTAATGATCACTTTTTGATAATTTTCAATTGCTGTAAGCATTATTTTTGGCTATTATTGTCATTATTAAGATTGTGAACCGACCACTGTTAGAGCAAAATTGAAAGCCTGGGAGCTCTGAACCGGCTTTTCTCCGAGTTTATTTATTTAAAAAAAGCATTGATACAAGGGGTCACCAAATACATATGTGCCAAACAATAACAATGAGGCCAATAACAGTTATCATTGATTTATGTGAAGGCTGTGATACAGTCCGGGTGCCCAGACCGGAGCCTTTGACCTGAAGGTCTAATCTGCAAGGCCCGACCGTAGCTGCTACCTTGACGCGGCGGTCGGGCTTGCCTATCGTGATGATCCAACCGAGCTATATTGGCTGGAACATATGTTTCTGTAGGTTCTACTATGTCAGGCAGGTCAATTGGAGAACGGTAAGACTAAAAGCAGCAACTCAAGGTCTGGGGGCGAAGTCGTACTGCTGACTAGAGGGGTGTGACAGCAGTAAGATGTTACCACCGGACAACCAGAATCTGCAGCAATGCTACCTTCTCACAAGGAAGGAAGGGGTTAGGAAAAGTTGACCCTAAAAATTTCACACCTCACCTTACCTCACGGATTTCCGTTTCCGGCAGTAAATCATTTTGATAAACGGAGCTAACACGTTAGAAACCTCCCACGAAAAGGCCGTGAGCGACTGACCTCAAGCAGTTGTCCCTGGGGCTCTGCGGCCACGCTTCCAGATCGTTAAGACCAACACTAATCCGATTTCCTTTTCAGGTTCCTCAAGAAATACCCTTCCACGATGTGGGTAGCCGGGAAGTGATACCAACTCTCATACCCGTAACAACACACGAGACCAAGTTGGTCACATTCAAATCCTTCCTACACCGCCTAATAACTCTCTTATCTCCAAGACTAACCCTTCTCACGTCCCGTTATCACCTCACATTGCTAGTGCAAACGATTCGCGTACGCAGAACGTTATTCCTGGTCTCTTGAAACCACGCTCTAAACTTCATATTGGAGCTTATAACGTCCGAACACTGTACCAAATAGAACAACAGGCTTCCTTAGCTAGGACTTGAGAATCTCGCGCCATCGATGTGTGCTGCGTCTCCGAAACACGCATACAGGATTCGAGTAGCGTCATTCATTTGACCTCACCATGTTAAAATAAAGAACCAACTCGATTCACATTTCGTGTATCTGAAAGCCTTGATGCTGCTTCCCGTGACCTGGCTGGCGTAGGTATAGCATTGAATCCTAGGACAGAGTTATCTCTTTTGGACTGAATCCCAGTAGACAGTCGTTTGTGCGCTGTCCGACTAGACAGAACACTAAGAACTCAGAAAGATAGGGACACTCGTCGTTGCCTCTTCGTCGTCTCTGCCTATTCTCCCACTGACTACAGCTCAGATGATGTAAAAGATGAGTTTTACAGAAAGCTTTCCGACCTTCTCCGAAAAGCTAGGCGCTCGGATGTAGTAATAGTGGCTGGTGATTTGAATGCTCAAGTAGGTAGACTAAGCGAAAGGTAAAGACACCTAGGTGGATCTTATGGTGTCGCGGCTCGAAGAACAGATAATGGCGACCGTCTGTTGCAGCTTTGCTCAGATAACCACCTGTTCCTTGCATAAGGAAAAACATCTTTTAACATGGCGACCCCCTAATTCATCCCAACGTTGGACCCAAATAGGTCACATTGCTATCAGCCACCGATGGACGGGCTCGATAGAAGACTGTCGCTCATTCTGGAGCACATGCTTAGATTCAGATCATGCTCTAGTGCGAGCGCGTATTTGTCTGCGTCTTAATGAACGTAGGAAAGATGCTGAAAGGAAACCTCTTAGGGTCCTGCTTAATGATAGTCAAACTAAGAGTATATTTCAGGAACAACTAGAAAAAGTTAGGCAGCCATATATGTGGTGCCCATCCCGAGGCATCATGGAATGACATCCGAAAAGCTGTGGAAACAGCAGTGATATCTGATAGTACGGTGAACCACAAAGCTAGGGAGAAACATTGGATCTCAGCAGCATCTATTACATTGGTAGATGCTCGAAAACTCATTCCATTTGGATCTGAACACGACGAAGAGTGGAGTCAGCTTAAACACAAGCTGTCAAGAAGCCTACACAATGATCGTGAACAGTGGTGGGTAGCGAAAGCAAAAGAGATGGGAAAGGCAGCGACAATTGGTAATAGCAGACAACTGTTCAGACTTGTTAAGGAAACCGGTATTAGGAACCCGAATGTTAGCGAAACTATCTCCGAAAAAGATGGACATATTATTCATTCTCAATCCAATAGATTGGATCGATGGGCAGAACACTTTAGGGATCAGTTCGACTGGCCTTCAGCCACACTTCGGTTTTCCACGATCTCCAATCAACCTGGATGGCAAGTTAATGTAGGTCCTCCGACTCTTTACGCGTATATAGCCTCAGCCAGGGAAGTCCTGCTCACTGCTTTTTCGCGGCGGCGGTGTTGTTTACAAAATTGAGACGATAAAAAGCGAATATCCGGTGTTTTAACCGGGTTGGCGGACACGGAGAGTCCACCTAGAGAATTTGGAAAAGCCTGGTTCCAAATTAATGATGTACTTGGGCTCCAGTATCCTGTGGGAACAAATGGCTTTTGGACCAATCGTCTCTTTACATTGCTCCACTGCCTTATGGATCAGACCTTCAGGTCGAAGGCTCCGTGTGTGGCACCCTAATTGAACCACCTGCTTCGGTTCGGGCACCCAGGCGGTACCACAGCCCTCACACAAATCTCATTAGCTTTGTGTGGCGCATATGTATCTGGTGTCCCCTTGTACCAATATCTATGTGTTCAAATAAATAAATAATGTAGGCGAGTTAATCAATATCTAGACGCGACTAAAACTACTTCCATAATAAACGAACCAATCACGCGGGTCTCAATGCGACTCAGCAATCTTTTTTTTTTTAGAAGTATAACGATCCTTTTCTTAGCTAATAATATAAACACCTGGTGGACTATTGAAAAAAACAAATATAAGTCAGTGAAATCAAAGTTTTCTAACGTGACATTCCAAAGCACAAACAGACTATTTCTTGCTACCAAAATGATAATGATTATTTATGAACTCTTTCAACAATAAATACTGTTCACAAGATAGTATTTATAACATATTAAGCTATATGGTGAATTGTTTTCTTATAATTAATAACAATGCAAAATGTATGTAATAGATTTATTGTATATCCAGAGGTGAATGTAGTGTGACCGTACCTGAACCCTTTGAGGCGTGGTATTGAACTATTACACCTATTGATTACAGTAACACTGTAGAACTTATCCGTGATGTTTATGTGACAGTGGAAGAATTAATGGGTTGGCATTATATCACACTACTGATTCTTCGTTTGTTTTCACCTTAATCCTTTTTTTTTTTCATTATGCATAAAATTTGGGGAAAGTTGGTGGTTAAGTAATGGGCTGTATGCGTTCCAACCACTTTACTGTATGGAGTTTGAAAACCTCCATCTGATTCATCTTATTAGTGATTATAATATACCTGGACAGTACTTTGTAACGCACATAGTTATAATGTCTTTTTTTATCGATCCACTAATTTTTTAAAAGTCGCTACAACAACGAGTAGCTTAATAGAACAATAAAATAGTTTATATTATAATGATCTTATTTCCAAATACCATTTAATTGTTATTGAGTAGCTAACCTCTTATTATCTATTTCCCACATAATATGACAATATTAGGCTATTTGCTCGTGGTCCAACTAACTGGGGTCAAGTAATCACTTTATTCTATTTTGGTTATCGGTTAGTAGTGCAACGAGTTAAAAAAGGTGTTACCAACGCATTTTATCAAGTATGTCGATGTCTAGTCAGTTTTTGTCGACAAATCAATATTTTCGTGTGGATAGCTCAACAAGGAGGATGGGTAAGTACAATGTTTTTGATAATTTTAGGAAGTCATTTTTTTTATTTACCTTCAATAGTTTGTTACATTTCATTTTGTCGATAAGTTTCTTATGAAATTTCAGCTTCTAACTTTCAATGTGATATCCCATTCCTAGAGTTCTGAGGAGGGTGTACTCCCAGCTGACCGTACAGGAGTATGACATCAGTAAGATGTTTCCATCAGATAACCAGCACATACAGCATTACTGTTATCTCACAACGAAAGGAGAGCCTGGAAAAAGCTGAACTTAAAATTGTCGCACCTCACCGACTTATTTCCGCCTCCAGCGGCAAAATCTTTTTTGAAGTATGCAGCTAACACAAATGTTAGTTTAACATCAAGGTTATTTTTTTTAATGCTTTAGTCGTAATTATTCGGATCAGTATAGGTCGTTTACTTTGGGATTGCCGAGTAAGCAATAGTGAGGCTAGTTAGAGAGTACTAGGTAAAGATGACGAACTGGTTGGTAAGGTAGTAAGTGTTTATTGACTCGGATGGTTGGAATATGTGTTACATATGCCTACCTTGGTGTGTGATGATGGCTGGTATAGGAGTAGGTTGGGAGAAAGCTAGGGGAGGCCCGACTATGACATGACACCAACCTGTGTAGTCATTGACTGACCTGAGTCTTTTTGGTAAGTGCAGACTACTTGGTTGGGGTTGGAGTCATCTTAGCCAACAGTTGTAGATGTTAAGTCACGTGGTTCAGAACCATTCACAGTGACGTAAATTCATTCATTCTTCGTTCTCCCCTAGATATTAAGTTTCTAAATAATCTCACAAAATCTTATCCACTAATCCATATTTGCCTTTCAAATCATAACTTCTGTGCTTAATCTTCTCTATTACCGCTAATGCTGTTACTGTCTGTAGTACTTTGAGATTTCCCTTGACAATTTCATGTCGCTGTATGTGACTACTTGGACCGATGCAGATATGTCCCAGGTTCTACGTTGTGTATAATTGATAGACTGATTGGATATCACACGTTGTATTTTCTTTGTTTGAGTTGAATTCTACCGTTATTAAGAAGGGGTTGTGAAATGTTTGCTGTTAATCGAAGTAAAATTTTACAGCAGCTGGTGATAATACCGATAGATTCATATTAGACATATTTTTTCAAAAAAGACAGAAAGTAATCTCTTCAAAGTTTGAATCATAAACTGTTTAATGTCTAACCTAAATTAATTCGCTACATTGATCGACCCTTATCTATTCTCTGCAGTGAGTAACTGTCACACGATACGTTTGAACTGTACTGGTCATGGCTTCTTACTAAAACTTCGAGAATTAACTCTCAAAGCTAGTTACCAGTGAACACATAATAATTATCACTATAGGGTTGTGAAGATTATTAAGATCATGGTCGGTTTATGATGTGTCGAGTAAAATTTGAGAGAGATGTCGTTAAACTTTTTTCCCGACCGTTGTTGCTACCTTGACGTGGTGGTCGGGCTTGCCTATCTTAATGAAGCAACCGAGCTATACTGGCTGGAACAGCTGTTCCTCAAGGTCCTACCATGTCAGACAGGTCGGTTAAAGGGCGGTAAGACTAAAAGCAACAAACCCAAGGTCCGAAGGCGAAGTCGTACTTCTGACTGTACAGAGGTGTGACAGCAGTAAGGTGTTTCCTTCAGACAACCAGCATGACACCAATGCTGCCTTCCCACAAGGAAGGGTGGGGTTAGAAAAGGTCGACCCTAAAACTGCACACCTCGCCTTATCCCATGGATAACCGTCTCCGGCGTTAAGGTCTCAACAACTACGGAGCTAACACAAAAATTACCCATAAAACAGTCGTGTGTGACCGACCTCAAGCAGTTGTCCCTTGGGCACTGCGGTCACGCTCTCAGGTCACTAAGACCACCTTTAATCCAATCTCCTTTTCAGGTACCTCCAGAAGAATCCTTCCACGGTGTGGGCAACCGGGAAGTGATAACCGCCCTCATATCTCTAACAGCACTCAAGACCACTGTATTCATAATCAACCTCCCTCTTCAATTCGCCGCCTTTTCCATCTATTTTGCTTTCGTTACCCACCACTGCCCACGGTCGTTCCTTAGACTTTTTCTTAACCTAGATCTGATTTGTTTACGCTCTTCATCATGTTCAGAACCTGATGGTACGAGTTTGCGGGAATCCATCAGTGTGATAAAGCTTGAAGAAATCCACTGGTTCCTTGTAACTCTGTGGTTTAAGTCACTAATAGATGTCACTGCTGTTTCCACAGCTGATTGTATGCCTTTCCAAGCAACATCTGGGTCAGCCTCGTCTTCAGAACTACCTAAGTGTGACCTCAGTTGTTCCTGGAACCTGCTTTTGGTTTTCTCGTTACTCAACTCAGTTTTAACGGGTTTTTTTAATGTGCCTTTTTTGCGTCCAGTGAGGTGCAAGCAGATGCGTGCCCGTATTAGGGCGTGGTCGGAGTCCAAGCAGGTACTCCAAAATGAGCGACAATCTTCTACCGACCCTCTCCAACGATGACTGATGGCAATATGGTCTATTTGAGTCCATCGTTGGTTTGGTGTAGGGGGTCGCCATGTTAGACGATGTCTCTTCTTATGCTTAAAATTTGTGTTTGCTATAAATAAACGATTGTCTGAGCATAGTTGCAGCACCATTATCTGTTCGCTGTGTCGGAATACTAAAATATCCACCTAAATGCCTTTCTGCTTGGTTTAAACTGCCTATCTGAGCATTAAAGTCACCCGCTACGAGTACTATGTCTGAGCGTTTAGCTTTCTGAAGAAGTTCGGACAACTTTCTGTAAAATTCATCTTTCACTTCATCTGAGCTGCAGTCAGTGGGAGCGTAGGCAGAAACGACGAAAAGGCAACGACGTGTGTCCCTATCCTTCCGAGTCCTTACGTAGCCGTTTAGCCGAACAGCACATAGACGACTGTTGACGGGGATCCACTCTAGCAGTGCTTGTTCGGCCCTCATGCTTAGTGCTATGCCTACACCTGCCAGTCCACGAGAACTGGCCATCGGGTCACCAGATACACGGAGGGTGTATCTCGTTGGTTCTCCGTTTTGCCGAGGTGAGGTCAAGTGAATGACCACACTGGAATCCTGTATGCGTGTTTCGGAGACACAGCATACATCAATGGTAAGAGACTCTAGGGTTTTAGCCAAGGAAGCCTGCTGATCGATTTGACAATAGGGTTCGTATGTTGAAGGCTCCAATGTGTAGTTTGGAGCGAGGTTTCAGTAGACTTGGGACAGTGTTTTGAGCACTAGAATCGTTGGCTATGGTGACACTTGAGGAGGAAGCCGAAAGAGGAAATTTAGAGTTGAAAGTCGATGTAGGAGGAATAATAGGAATTGAAGAGGGAGGTTGATTATGAATACAGTGGTCTTGAGTGCTGTTAGAGATATGAGGGCGGTTATCACTTCCCGGTTGCCCACACCGTGGAAGGATTCTTCTGGAGGTACCTGAAAAGGAGATTGGATTAAAGGTGGTCTTAGTGACCTGAGAGCGTGACCGCAGTGCCCAAGGGACAACTGCTTGAGGTCGGTCACACACGACTGTTTTATGGGTAATTTTTGTGTTAGCTCCGTAGTTGTTGAGACCTTAACGCCGGAGACGGATATCCATGGGATAAGGCGAGGTGTGCAGTTTTAGGGTCGACCTTTTCTAACCCCACCCTTCCTTGTGGGAAGGCAGCATTGGTGTCATGCTGGTTGTCTGAAGGAAACACCTTACTGCTGTCACACCTCTGTACAGTCAGAAGTACGACTTCGCCTTCGGACCTTGGGTTTGTTGCTTTTAGTCTTACCGCTCTTCAACCGACCTGTCTGACATGGTAGGACCTTGAGGAACAGCTGTTCCAGCCAGTATAGCTCGGTTGCTTCATTAAGATAGGCAAGCCCGACCACCACGTCAAGGTAGCAACAATGGTCGTGCGGACCGCAACTAAGTGGTTTGTATGTAATAGCATGACTTATATCAGAAGTTAGTGATTTGAGGGCCGAAGCCATGTTTTGGTTTGTCCACCCCTAACTTTCTTCCATCCATCCTCAACACCGGTTAGCATTGCGCTTCATGGTAATCGGTGTTCAGGCATACGCATTAAGTGATCCAACAATCTCAGTGGATGTAGATTCACAACCTCATTAATTGATTTACCATCATTCCCTGATACTCTGCGTCTATCCTCTCTAATACTTACACCATACTGTTGCGTACTCACTGTGAGTTATGTATTTGTTGGACTCTATAGAATCATAGGTAGTAGTGCTATATCGATTCACTAAATCTCACCTTTAACAAGTGTGATAATAAAAAAGTCAATGATTCAAATAAGATATGAAAGTAAATCACAACTCATATGTATCTACCGTTCTAACGAATGCAACCAGACACTACCACACAGATTAGGAATGAAAGAGATATTATATTTAGCTAGTGACTTCCTGAATTTACTCCACGATTTATCTAATATGATTTCAGTGGTTGAGTCTAATTTTCAAGTCGTTTTGTTTGAGCGTTCGTTTCTAACGCTATCATTCTTCACTCACTGGTCCTATCAGTAGTACCAAGTAACTCTTGAATATTCAAGATCTTCTAACGTTTTATTAGGTTGTTACCTAAGTGTCGCAGGTTTTTTGTTCGATGGGAACTAATTCTGAGAAAATCTTTTATTACTGTGTAATAATTCCATTAAACTCTTGTAATCTATCAGAATTCATCGAGCCGCTACAATGATTTAATTCATTTGATATTCATATTCAGACTCTTTATAGATGTAGAACTCAATTTAATTTTAGTCAGTCAGCTACAACAACATCTACAAGCACACTTATATGCATCGGTTTAAGTTGCCATACCTCACTCATGAACACAACAAGATAAACACTGAATTCATAAAAGTAGTTAATTCAGTGATGGTAATATATAAAAAGATAAATTGCATATAAGGATATAATGCAAGAAGAAAAAATTAATATATAAAGTGATTTTTAATTTAATTCACACTTATTAATTATAACTTATTATTCCTTTTTAGCGAATTCTTCAATTTCTACAATCTCATAGAACATATGATGATGAAAATATAAACACAAAGAATCATTCAACATCATCCAATATAACTTCACATATTGATGAAAATAACCAACAAAATACATCGTTAAATGATCATAATATTAATAATTCATCATTTAATTATTCTAATCATGATTCCAGTTTATTTATTCCATTCATTTTGACTAGTACGAGTGTTGTTGTGATAGCTGTTGCTATTTGGTTTTACTTACGTCGTTTAAAATAAAAAAGTTTTTTTGTTGTTGTATGGATTTATGCATTAAGAACAAGTTCATTTCATTTTGTACTTATGCCTATAACTTTTTAGCTCTCCCTCCCTCTCTAATGTTGTTTTCTTTCTTTTTTTTTAAAAAAAAAATTATTTTAAAGACTAACCTCACCACCCCCTTTTTAACTGAACCGGGGTTATTTTTTTTTTTTAGTTACCAATCATTGCCTATCTATTGTAGAATTCAGTATTTGTTCCCTATTTTTATTTTAGTTAAACAAAAAAAAAAGAGAAAAGAAGTTGTTATGATTACATTTCTCTTCATATTGTTAATTTACTCATCATTCATCAAAATATATAGTCTATTGATAGTTCTTAATCTTTTTTTTATTGAGTGATTATAGAAAGTTTCTAATGATGAATAGTAGTAGTAGTAGTGTATGCTTTTGCAAGGGCTTATTGTTACAATTGATTGATCACTGGGTGGTGATCAATGTCTTGCTTGTCTAGTCCTTATTAGTGCAGATCGAATGCTATCGATCATGTTGCACTGTGGCCACCAGTCTAGGTGACTCGACACTGCGGGCACTATGTATTGAGATTTAGATGGTGGGCTTATTGTGGATATTATAGTAATTTCAATGGTTGAGATCATGAGTCAATTAAAGCTAGACCATCATGAAAAACCTGGAAGCACTGGACGTCCCACAATAAGACGAAACGGCCATCCAGTGCTTCCAAGTTTTCCATGATGGTCTAGCTTCAATTGACTCATGATCTCAACCATTGAAATTAATAGTTATTTATTTATATTACAATAAATTGATCAGTTGTAATCATTATAAATATCCGACATAATTGTGCATCAACCGATATTCTCATATCATTACATTTTAAGATTTAATTAAGTTATATCATATACATTTTGTAATTCTACTTACTAAGTAGTCATCATTTATTATTTATTTATTTGAATACATAAATATTGGTACAAAGGGGAACCGAATACGTATGCGTCACACCAGTCGCTTGATTTGTGTGTGGGCTATAATACTGCCCGAGTGCCCAAATCGAAGCAGTTGGTTTTCTTAGGGAGGGGGCATGCTTCAAGCCATTAAGCGATGCATTCCCATCGTGTAAGGCAGTTATTCAACTCAGACAACGGATGAAGGTTTGCGCAAGATCACCGATTGATCGAAGTTCAACGTTAACACCGTTGGGTCCCGGTTCAATGGTCTAAAGGTTAGGCCTTCGCGCGCGAGACCGAATCCGACGTGCAGGATCATGGATGCCCACTGCTGAGGAGTCCCATGATAGAACGAAACGGTCATCCAAGTTTTGAGTGGTGTTCTAGCTTAGATAGGCTCACAAATTCAACTTTGAAAATACTACAATCACTACAAATCCCCTAAATTGATAATTAATAATTTGTGTGGAATCTTGTCTTTCAACATTTTGATTAATCACTATGATTTTTTTTATTGTAAGCACCATATTCAAGCATACGTACCAGTGAGTGTGATTTGAAGCGCTTGTGAAAATTTATTTTTACTTATTTAAACACATAAACATTGGTACAAGGATGGAAGTAGGAATCACAATAAAAAAACGTTAGTATATCTATAATTTTTAAATAAGATTCTAGAGTTATTATTTATTATTATTTCAACACATAAACATTGGTACAAGGCACCAAACAGATATGCGTCACAAAGTCGTTCGATTTGTATGAGGGCTGGGATACTGCCGGGGTGCATAAACGGAAGCGGGTGGTTTTCTTATGGGGCCACATCTCGAGCATATGACCTAAAGGTCTAATCCATAAGGCAGTGGAGCAACGTGGTAGCCGGTGACCAACTTTTGGTTCACAGGCCATCTGTTTCCTTATGATTCTGGAACCCCTGTGCACCACTGTTTTAGAATTGGGGTTTTCCAACTCCTCTCCGTGTCCACCAACCCGGTTAAGGCCTTGGACATCCTCTTTTCGCCCTCTCCATTTTGTAACCAACACCCCAGTCACGAAAAGGCAAATACATTTGTAGTTTAAATAGTGATTAGGTCTTCGATGAATGACTAATTGTACCTTTTGTTCCGGTCTGTAATGATTATTGATTACTATCTTGATGCAGTTATCAAGTTTATCTGAACGAGTTGTTTTTGTTGAAGCATTTAGATACGTTATTCTACCTACTAGGTTCATAGAATTATTTTCAATGTCAAGTGTATATATTTTTAGTTTTAATCAGTACTATTTGCTCAGTGGTTAAAGTAGAGATAGACTTATATTAATGTTACGATAAAAGTGAATGCAGATAATCATTCTCTAATTTTTTTCAAAGAAATTTGTGAATTTAGTTGTTTTTGTTGGACATTCAGTTTTTCTTTATATCAGAGACAATATGATCAGCAACATCTTTGTTATCTACTTCTCATTTATCTTGTAAGTTTCTTAAACAGATATCTTATCCATGTATTTTTACTAAGTTCTTGATATTCATGAGGTTGATCAATATTTTTTAGGCATAAAATGCCACAATGATTTTCTGAGTTTTCCTAGTGTTAACTAATGTTTCTTACAAACTGAAAATTTTTTATTTTTTGTTTTAACACATAGATATCGGTACAAGGAGACACCAAATACATATGCGCTACACAGATCTCATTTGATATGTGTGAGGGCTGTGATACTGGCCGGGTGCCCAAACCGAAGCGGGTGGTTCAATTAGGTGACCACACCTGGAGTCTGCGACCTGAAGGTCTGATCCACAAGGCAGTGTAGCAACGTAAGGAGATGTAGTCCCATGGTAGCCGGTGACCAACAATCGGTACTGGAGCCCATGTGCACCATTAGTTTGGAATCAGGGTTTTCCGAATCCTTTAGATGAACTCTCTGTGTCCACCAACCCGGTTAAAGCACCGGATATTCAGTTTCGGTCTTCTCAATTTCGTAAGCAACACCTCTGATGCGAGAAGGCAGTGAGTAGTACTTCCCAAGCAGAGGCTATATACGCGTGGCCATGTGAGAGCATTTTGAGAGGTAGAGCGGACCCTCCCCACTCTCGGCCGTACCAGGGCATTTTGGGACAAACTGAAATTCAATATACACTTAACAAAGAGTACTGTATAAGAAAAAACTTGGTAATTCACAATACTTCTCTTTTCAGAACTCACATTAAACCAAACAATAAAGTTCTCAAAACTTTATTTTTTTTGTTTAGTTAAGAATGTAGTATAGATATGAAAGGTTTAAAACAATAACTATTAGATAAAGTTGGATATTGACTTGCAGCGGAATGTATGACTTGCGTTTCGTCCTATTTAGTACAGGTACATCCAGCTGACGATTCCCAAATAGGACGAAACGCGCGTTCTGCATTCCCATGCTAACCACTATCCATCTTTGCATATAGTGCTTGTGAATCAGGGCAATACGTACAGAGACGGATCAATTTTAGTCCTAAACACCAAACTACCAAATGAATCTAAATATTAGGTATGACTTAAATTGTTTTAATAAATAAACTGTTGTCAGGCAAATAATGCAAATTTTAACTATTTATCTAGAGTTTATTTATGAAGTAAATAGTTTGTCAAGGGAATTATGTTTAGATTTCTATATGGGATAATTCCAGTGTTCGACTTTAAATACAAATTAAAACATTTATATTGTTGTGCATAGTAACAATTAGCATTTTCCATCAATATTTCCACACATTATTATTTGAATGTCATGTATTAACTTTTTCAGCAGAATATTCTCAACAATAATTGATCATTCAGTATAAAAAGATCTTAATAATTATTCATTCTAAGTAGTAGATGAAAGTAAATGATTCTAGTCATGTTTTGTAGATATATTTGTTTAACCTTTTAAATTTCCTTGTCCGAAAATAGATCTTAATTAGTAAGTGATCAATACTATTTGGTACCATATTGATATCATAACGGTAAAATTAGTATGAAAATATTTTACGAGAACTAATATCACATGGTACAGGACGTATAAGTCGATATTATCTAAGTATTTTAAAGTACTTTCATTGATTATTAAACATGTATTCAATTAGATACTATTGATTTAATTCTAACATTGTTTTGTTTTTATTCTTCGATTTTATCAACAGTATATCTGGATAAAACAAGTTTTGATCCACCGAGTAAATGTATCATTATGAACGTACAGCTAAAATTATTACGCTTTTCACTAAACTTGAAATTTACATCTACATATTGGCAGATGATCTTTAAATATGCGCAGGCCGTCAAATGCTCTGGTACGGCCGAGAGTGGGGAGAGTCCGCTCTACCTCTCAAAATGCTCTGACATGGCCACGCGTATATAGCCTCTGCTAGGGAAGTCCTACTCACTGCCTTCTCGCATCAGAGGTGTTGCTTATGAAATTGAGGAGACCGAAACTGAATATCCGGTGCTTTAACCCGGTTGGTGGACACGGAGAGTCCATCTAGAGGATTCGGAAAACCCTGATTCCAAACTAATGGTGCACATGGGCTCCAGTACCGATTGTTGGTCACCGGCTACCATGGGACTACATCTCCTTACGTTGCTACACTGCCTTGTGGATCAGACCTTCAGGTCGAAGGCTGTGTGGTGTGGTCCTCTAATTGAACCACCTGCTTCGGTTTGGGCACCCGGCCAGTATCACAGTCCTCACACATATCAAATGAGATCTGTGTGACGCATATGTATTTGGTGTCTCCTTGTACCGATAACTATGTGTTAAAATAAATAAAATAAATGTGCTCAGATAAGAAGTAAAATTTAAGAAAATGACAAATCAATGGTTATTTGTTAAACATAATGAGGGTTCAAAAATTACGTTACCTTGATGAAAAATACCTCAACATGGTGAGGTTATTCTCAGAAATGCTAACTTAAATATTCAGTTAATCCTACGAAATGTTAGAACCGTAAAGATCATGTCGATTGTCAAGTGACTTAATAGAGTAGTACATTTAATATACGTGTTTATTTAATAATTTTTAGTATTTGACGGTAAA